TCCCAAGGAGATTAAAAGTAGTTCTAAGCTCCTTGCCTACTCCCCTTTCTCGTCCATGGCGTTAAGTTTATAGCCGACGGAACTCTAAACTTGCGAGTTTTGTTTCAAATCAGGACTGAGCGGGCAAAGCATTTTCCGTCTTAGACTTAAGACTTAGACAGGGGAAACCCTCGGAAGGAAGCGGATTTTTCTTTCCGTTTCCGCGTTGGACAGGTTTCCGTTTTCTACAGGTAAATAAAGAGGAATATATCAAGGGGGGAGCGGGGAGAATCCGTTAAGACAGGTTTCCGTTTTATACAGGTTTCCATTAAGGCAGGTTCCACTGTATTACTATTATTTATTACTATTATTATTATTATAATCTCAAAAAGATAGAGAGAGATAGAAGGATAGAGAAAGAAAGAAAGAAAAAGACAGAGAGAAAGAGAAAGACCTAGATCTAATAGAATAAAATTGTACACAAACTCAAAACTGAGACCACCAAATAAAAGACAGACTTTAGACTTAAAATAGTCAAAACTTGATTCACCTTTGATAGACAAACACAATGTGTGTGTGTGTGTGTGTGTTCACATGTGTGTGTACAAGTGTGTGTGTACATGTGTGTGTACATGTGTGTGTGTGTGTATTATGATGTATCATGTGTGTGTGTGTACATGAGTGTGTGTGTGTACATGTGTGAGTATTATGATGTATCATGTGTGAGTGTGTGTACATGTGTGTGTGTGTGTGTTTACATGTGTGTGTGTGTATGTACATGTGTGTGTATTATGATGTATCATGAGTGTTTGTGTTTGTGTGCACATGTGTGTGTGTACATGTGTGTGTACATGTGTGTGTGTACATGTGTGTGCGCATGTGTGTACATGTGTGTGTATTATGATGTATCAAGTGTGTGTACATATGTGGGTATTATGATGTATCAAGTGTGTGTACATGTGTGTGTGTGTGTGTACATGTGCATGTGTGTATACATGTGCGTGTGTGTACATGTGTGTGTGTGTACATGTGCGTGTGTGTACATGTGTGTGTGTGTGTGTGTACATGTGCGTGTGTGTACATGTGTGTACATGTGCGTGTGTGTACATGTGCGTGTGTGTATATAATATGTGAGTGTGAGTGTACATGTGTGTGTACATGTGTGTGTGTGTGTGTGTGTGTACATGTGTGTATGTGTGTGTGTGTACATGTGTGTGTGTGTGTGTTTACATGTGTGTATGTGTGTGTGCATGTGTGTACATGTATGTGTACATGTGTGTGTGTGTGTACATGTGTGCATGTGTTTACATGTGTGTGTGTGTTTACATGTGTGTATGTGTGTACATGTATGTGTACATGTGAGTGAGTACATGTGTGTGTGTGTTTACATGTGTGTGTGTGTGTGTGCATGTGTGTACATGTATGTGTACATGTGAGTGAGTACATGTGTGTGTGTGTTTACATGTGTGTGTGTGTGTGTGCATGTGTGTACATGTATGTGTACATGTGAGTGAGTACATGTGTGTGTT